TGTACCCCCATATGCCAACCACCATAGTTGTACTGGTGCACCAGGAGACATAAAATGTACTAGGTATTGGACTGATGTCACTCATGGCATCCCCCTAATACAGAGAAGAGATTATAGGTCAATGCATTATTGTTATGCATGTTGCTCCTGGCAAAGCAATAATAAAAAAAACTCTATTCAATATTAGTCTCAGGGCCAGGTTCTGCATTTGACTCCATGCTCAAAGTTCTCACTGGGAATGCCAATCTGGAAGAGCCACAGAATCAATGTCCTCAGTCATTGGTCCACTTCTTTCTTTTGTGGTTTCTGCTTGCTTTACCTCATTTAACAATAAACTGGCTCCAGCCCTCCTATAAATTAACTGGAAACTCTTCAGGCACATCATATTTCTGAATTTTTTTTTTGGAAAATAAAAATTACAGATTAGAAATTACAAGAATTGAAAGGTGTAGTTTCTATTTTATTATTGAAGGCAGTAGGATTTCTCCACCTAAAAATTAAGGATAATTCTGAAGCTATACATGGGACCCTTTCCAAGCACAGTTCACTTCTATGGATTCTACTCTACAGAAATACTGAAATTTGGCATTCTGTGCCTGCCACTTTCCCAGGATGAAGTTGAGAGGCAGACAGGCATAGGGAACCATTGTCTAACAAGCCTGATATCTGAAAATTCTGGACCTGTCTTAAGCACAGATCTTTACCTTCTTACGTTTGCTAGGCTATGCTCACATTAGCAAGTATGCTTTTGTTTTGCTCATACCACAGAGTCATAGCTTTCTTCATGAAACCTTGTTCCACATTATTTTGTGTGGCCTTTAATCTAGTTCACCTTGGTTATGTCCCAGTGTTAATAAGCATTAATAATAATAACCAAAATGAAGAAAAGGAAGGGGAGGGAAGAATTAAGATGAGTAAAGAGAAGGAACTTTCAGTGACTCATAAGTAAGCTACTAAAGATAATCCTGTAAAACATGTTATAGCTGCAGGCCAGAAAGCTCTCTCTCTTGATTTATTGTGACTATCACATTACTGTATTATTTTAACAGGTTATAACTATGTACCAAATTCAAAGAGATATTTAAAGATCAACAGCAAGGCTTATTGCTCTTTTATCAGTTTGAATAGTTTATATATTTTCTAGACTTTTTAAAATGTATTTTAACAGGGGCCACAAGGACCTCAAGGGATTCAAGGAGAAAGAGGTTCACCAGGTGAAGGGCTTCCAGGACCAAAGGTACCATAACAGATAGTATATAAGGCTTGATCCTGATCCCATTTAAACCAGGGGCACCCTTACTATTTACTTGAATGCGTGCAGGACCAGACCTAAGGTGAAAAATTTACCTAGTCAAACTGCGTAGCTTATTTTGAGCTAAGGGTGAAGTGTAGACACACCCGTAGAGTACAGGCAGAGGGCTTAAAGAGTTCACCTGTTTTACACTTTTTGTTTTAAATGTGAAATGAGTCAGTTACGGTTGAGGTATATCCTAAAGAATTAACTCCCCTCCCCAAAAATCCCCAATTTGATCCTGAGCATAGTTAGGGGTGATCATGGTTTGTCAGACGTTGGTTGTGTTTAAGGGAGTGGTGAAAAAATCATTTTGCAGGTATGCCCCCAAATGCTAATGTTTTCCCTTCACTCAAACTCTTGCATTTTATTTAACCCAGTACTGCAATAGCTGGGTTTCATTTTGGCTGGTCATATCAGAATAATCACTTTAATTATCTCAATTTCTGATATCTATTTCAAAAAGAATTATATATGTTCTCTGATGTTGTTAGTGTTGATCACTTATATTTATATAGCAAAGAGAATCCACAGAAATGACTGAACTACTCCTGAAATAGAGCCACTATCCAACAGTGCCAAGCAACACTACACAACAGGTTAAGGAAGTAAGAATGCATCTAGCTGAAGGTAGAAAGGGAATTTAGATAAGCAGAATGAATGTATTTTAACCAAACTGGAATTTGGCCAGGACAACAAAGATTAGCACTCCTGTGCCTACAAAAATGCACTATATTTTACTGCCAATTTGAAATAAAGCCAAACATGTGTCAACAGATTCTATATTATTTGTATAATCTCCAATCCTGTTGCCAACTGTGTCAGGTCTCTAACATTAAATCATGTATTTTAGAAGCTGATTTGTAAATCTAAAACTATACAGTTGCTTCTTCTGTGAGAGCTTGTTTGTTAAAAGATTAGAGTTTGATCAGAAGGAAAATGTATTCAGATATCCTACAGGCCTGTTCACAGGAATTTCTGGGGAGGGGGGCGGGGAGCAAGCTGTTGGAGGGACTGGCGGCTGCCCTGCCCTCAGGGCCCAACTCCACCCCCAGTCTCTGTCCTGGGTTCGAGTTGGGGAATCAGCCCCAGACTTCCCCTGGCCAACCAGAGCACAGAGGAAGGAGTCTGGCAGTGTGCTGCTTCTGATTTCCACTGGCCAGCCAGAGCACAAGGGAGGGAGGCTGGCAATGCGCCACCTCTGCCTTTCCCAGACCAGCCGGAATCAGCCCCATGGCAGACCATAAAGGACATGGGGGGGATGCGTTCTCACCCTTCACACCACCCCCCTGCATACGGGCCTGTAGTAGGATAAAGGAATGTTATCTTAAGCAGGAAATTTTTAAAAAATAAGGAAAATCTAAAATGAAAAATTTTATTAATAGCGGAAGATCATTAGTTCTATTGATTTCACTATGTAGAAATACGATAATTTTATCAGCTGAGTGAAGCTCCTATATGTTTTAATAATAGAAATACAATGAAGTTCAATCATTTTCTATCTTATTAACTTGCATTTTCTTTAAGATCTTTTGTAGTTAAACTTTCTTTAAAATATTCCTTTGGCGTATGACAAACCCCTTTTCATTAGTACCCCTTTTCTATTCCTAATCACCTTCCATTTCCATCATTATGCTTGGCTGCCATGCTGAGAGAGCCATTTGCTACACTCAAATTATTATACTGAAACAACTTAAAAACAACCAATAGTCTTGCAGTACTTTAGAGACTAACAAAAAGTGTAGATGGTATCATGAGCTTTCGTGGGCACAACCCACTTCTTCAGCTGAAACAGTGACACATTATGGACTCAGTGCTGAAATCCTTATTCAGGCAAAACAAATCCTGTTTACTTTATTTCACCAAGACTACTCCCATGAAAAAAAGAAATTCAGGCACTGCCTTCTTCTTCTTTCTTTTGATTTCCTGCATGATGCTACCAATAGCCTCTCTGATTTGTACTGAAGAGAGTAAATAAGCATGGATTGCTGAAGTTAACATCATTTTTTTCATATAGGGTGAGCGCGGGTTTGATGGTCCTAAAGGACCTCGTGGCCAGCCGGGCATTGGCATAAAAGGTGAAAAGGTGAGCAGTAAATATGTCAGGCAGTTAACCAACCACAAAGGAATCTGAATGCAGTGGGAGTTGATATTCGCTACAAAAGATGTAATGAAGCAAAATGAATAATTTGATATCTACAATAGGAACTGCACAACACTAACGTTGTGGTGAGATTTATAGCCGATAAACTGCCTCAACCTATTCTAAAATCTCTTTGTAGTAAATGTGAGATGGAACAAAAAGTGATTGATTCTGTGGGAAAGTTAAGATCTGGGGGGGGGGGAGACTAACTGTTGTTTACAACAGCTGAACCAGCATGAGCTAAGATGTATAAATGGACTCTTTAGAAGGTGTAGAGTCAGAACCTCAGCTGGTATATATTGAAGTAGCTCCATTGAATTCAAAGGAGCTATTCTCATGCACACTCGCTGAGGATCCAACCTAAATTGTTTCCATATCTTCACAAAATAAGCAATTGTACTTTGTTCAACAGGGTGAAGTTGGCCCACCTGGTTTACCTGGGCCTATTGGGTTATCTGGCATTGGGATTCAAGGAGAAAAGGTGGGATTTTCATTTAAAAGGGTTTCTGAAATATTGGGGGAATATTTTACTTTTAAAGATTAATTGTAAAATCTTTTTAGGGGGTAGAAGGACCGAAAGGACCACCTGGTCCAAGAGGGCCACCTGGACAAGGGCTGCCTGGCTCAAAGGTAAGGAAATTCACTGATGTAAAAGCAATGATGAAGTTTTCTGATTTAACATTAAATGTCACTTATAAGAAATGGCTTAATTTTATGGTAATTCTTAATAAAGATTCAGCTACAGTAAGTTATTGTACAGGTTGAACCTTTCTAGTCTGGCAACATTTGGGATCCAGCATGATTTTTGTTAGCCAGATGTCCACTTACAATGGGCATAACCAAGTTTCCCGTGGTCCCATAAGCTTTGTTTACAGCCACCAGTCCTAGCTCTCAGTGTTCTGTGCTGTTATTTAGCTCTAATTTCCCCTAAATGTCTTCTAAGAGCCCAGTAAGCAGTGGAAGTGTTGGTAATACTACTAGACAATATTGACCTCCTGTGGTTCTGCAAATTCTCTGGTTCTGCACTGGTCAGGTCCCAAGGGTCCCAGACTAGAGAGGTTGAGCCTATAGTAACTGACCCTAAGCCATTGGGAGGCTTTGCTAAACCCCACTCAACTCTATGTACCTAGCTTCTTTTCATGGCCTACTGCTATCAAGGAGCCTTTTGGGACTCTATACACCAGAAACTCAGGTTCTGTTTCATACTTGATTGTCCTTACATAAACTGCAGGCACGCTTCCCGTCTCTCCAGAAAAGTATTTTATGCTTGACTGCACAGCGCACCAAGGCCTCAAGCAGCTGCATCCCTCTTCCTCACTACATTGCACCCCTTCCACAACTGCATGTTGTTGTCTACAGACTGCCTTCTGTTCTTGTTGCTTGGGCTCATAGTTTCTCCCTGTATTTCATCCAATACCAGACATTTAGAAATGTTAGAAAGCAGCACAAGCTTTAAGTAGGATCGCATTCTTAAGTGTCAAAATTGAAGCCCGGAGTTCATCCAAATGATGGAATTACTGGTGAAAGTGGTCACCATGAAAGCATTTGAGACAGGTTTAATGGGGCTTTATAAATAGAAAGATTGATGAGCAAGAAATATGGGTGTGTAAAGGGGTTTACTCAACATAAGAACACCTCCTCATGGTCAGCTGTGGCATAGTGGCAGTGTCCCATATGGTACCCCCTACCAGTGATCGCTATATCTCTGCAGTGGTCTCTTCCGCAACTTGGCCCTCTGGCCAAGTCACATTTTTCGTCCATTTTTTCTGTAGTAACAGAGTCCAACTTAGCTATAGTCCAGTCACATCACAACAGGCATTCCATTGGTCTCTGGGCTCTGTGGCCCTTTATGCACCTCACCTCAGCACAGTGGACTCCAACCTTTTTACACCCAAGTTAACTTTGGATTTAAGGGCAATCCAGGATCTACCCCCACCCTTTCCCTGAAACCCTGTCCCCTCACTCTATCCCCCGCCTTGGTCGTTTTCCCCCAGTTGCTCTGCTGTACTACCAAAGATTGTGTTCAACTAGGAGAGTTTCCAGGATCAACCAGACAATTGCAATCAACTTGTTGGTGTCCACTTCCTTAGGGAGATTTAATCAACCTTCTTTGATAGTTGTGGGAGAAACCAAACACTTCCATCTTCTCTAGAATCCAGCCTAGGAACCCTGTAGCGGTTAGCCAAGATCTACTCCCTCAGACTTCTTGCTGCTTCCCTGGATTGCTGCTTACCTCTTCTATCCCTCAGGGAGCAATTACAAACTTTCTTCTTCTGCTTGAGTTTTATAGTGCAGCAGACTCACCTGCTGTCTATGAATGCCAACCCCTCAACAGCACAGATAAATTCTTGAATTAGTCTTTCACCTTTTCTAGTATTTTAAAAATCGCCATTTTTTTATGGAGACCCAGTTTCCTGATGCTCTTACTAGTTGTTGCAGTGAAAATGTTGATACTTTAAGGCCTCTACGTTTTTCATATAAATATCTCATATACTCAATACTCCTATGGGAGATGATCAGCTGTTTCCTGGACTTTGCATTGCCAACATAATTCATCTTTAAGTTCACAATAAACAAATTACTATTTAAGCCACAATGGGCAGTTAAAATTCTAAGTAGACCCACTTCACATTCTCTCTCAAGACCTTGGAGTAGATAAGCATTTTTAAATCTTGGACACGTTTCACAGAGTCATTTTCCCTTTGTTTCCTTTTGCCCGGATTTCCTGCCATTCCTCGCAAATTCATTTTTAATTAGATTTCTAAATTCCAGTTGAATTAAAGGGGGCTCTAAATCAGCTTGCTCATGTGTGACACCATTATTTGCCATATGGTTTGCTAGCTCATTGCCCACTGCACTGGAATCCATGCTATTACTGAGATTGGACCCAACTGCATCAATTCTGTTAGTAGCAATATTTCATTAAATATTTAATTTCTGCTTTCCAAAGTGCTCTTTCTGGTCATCAGTAGTCTTTATAAGGGATCAGACCGGATGGTAGCTGGCACACTTCTATAACCAATTTAAGGCCAGCATTATCCAAGCCTGTTTGGCTGGCAAAACAGCTACAAAATTGGATAACTTTCTTGAGTGATGGAATTCAGAACCATGAGCATACATATGGCAATAGCATCCCACTTATCAGCAACCATACTGATATGCCATATCTTGCACATTTAACACTCTTCCCTTAATTTTATTATACAACTTCATATTTATCTGAAGAGGTATAATTTTCCAATTATGATGCATTTTCCCAAAGCAGTAGACTTTATCCTTTTTTCACTAAGATCACTTATCCTCTCTTTAACCTACTCTTGTCTTACACACTGACCACTTAATTCCTCGCATTCCTCACATATTAGCTGAGTGTTTACATCTTCTCCATTTCCAGTGACTTCAGCCAAAGAAGCTAAATCCTAAATCTTCATTTTTAAAGTAATTGGAATTTCATCCACAGCTATCTACAGTACACACAGCAGCCCTGTGACGAAAAACACCACATACAGTTTGCAACACCTGAGCTTGGACTGAGTCAAGTTTTCACAAATTTGTTTTTGATGCCAAACTAAAAGTGTGGCACCCATTCTCAATGATTTGTCTTATTAGTGTTGTGAATAGCATTACCACTGATTTCTTATCTGCACTACAGGCAGTTCCAGAAATGCTTCTAAGTAATTTGATCTGCCTTTACATTTACCTCTTATGTTGTCAATATGATCCTTCCAAGTGAGCTTGCTGTCAAATGCCATGCCTAAAAATTTGAAAGCTTTCAACTATACTTGTCTCTAAAAATATTATAAATTGTACCTATTAAGTTTCCTTTTTGTGAATATTATTCCCATAGTTTTATCAATTGAGAATTTATTTCCCCATTCCACACACTTCATTAGTACTTCATTTGCTCAAACTATTTTGTGGTTTCTGGTTTTGGTCATATGGCACAGTAGTCAGCAACTAAAGTGATGCCTATTCCTACACATCTTTTTGAAGATCATTTATCAAGATTTTGATTAAGGTAGAACTGATAACACTCTCCTATGAAGTATCATTTATAAGTGTCTATACACTTGTATAAACTTTCTGATCTGCATAGTTCTTTAAGAAATCTCTCATCTGCTTGTACATCCTTCCTTTTATACCCAGAGTAGCCACTTTCTGAAGTAAACCTGTCCTCTATAATATATCATTTTTTCAATATCCAGAAAAATAACTATAAATTATTAAGTTCTCTTACCCTTACACTATGATCAGGTGTGTTCCTTCCCCTCAAACCCACTCTGCTTGGAACCTATGAGTCTGTTTCTCTCAAAATATGAAACCAGTCTTAGATATCATTTATAATATTTCAAATATGCTATAAGGGCCATTAGCCAGTATGCATCAGGTCTGGATTACAGCTTGCCTGGTTTTCTTACTGGAACAAAAACCACATGCTTCCAGCCCATTGGGTCCTCACCTTTCTCTCAGAGACTACTGTACAGTTATAGTACTACACCAAGTTTTCCTTCAGGTAGGTATTCACAACTGTTTTCAGCTACAGAATTGCTGGCTTTATAATCACCACCCAGCTGAATTTCATTATCAGTTAAGCCTGGCTTTGTCTCTTGCCGATACTGCCAGGTATATTAATTGGTTCTCAGGTGCACACTAATCCCTTCAGGATCCCAATCACCCCATCATAAGGTCCCAATTCTGAATTCTTTCTCATCACTAGGCTTTTGATATGGGTTAGCAATCTCTGTCCAGTAATAAGAAGTAAATAGGGAACAACGGAGAGCTCCTCACATTTGGAATGATTAATAGCAGGGAGATGCTCTACTCATTATAAAGGAGACAGAAGAGGAAAGTATATTTGAAAATCATATGTGCTCTCAAAATATCTGCTGTATTATTTATAGATCTTCAACATTTATTAGTTCCAGTGACAAGTTTCCCAAGAGAGCAGAAAGTAGACTATGTGTAGGAGAATCTAGCCCTGTGGGTAAAAATCTTAAAGTTAGGACCTCAAATAATGCATTTTTATTATGCTGAATCTCCTTTTTGTAAATATAAGCTGCCAAGAAAATGTCATCTTATCTTTCTGATGTTAATGCTCTTCACAAACATTTTCTATTTAAGGGTGAACAAGGCTTGCCAGGAGAAACTGGAGCACCAGGAGAAAGAGGTCTTGGGGAACCCGGTTCAAAGGTATAGTGTTAATAAGCTCTTTCCTTGGACTTGTACTGCTAAATTACTAAGCACTTTTGAAAATCCCACCTATAAGCACTAAAACATGGAATTAAGAGCTAAAGTTTAAGCTCCGATTTTTTTTCAAAACTTTGGCCACTATCATTTAATGATATCCAAAAATGTATGTTTTAAAATATTAGCACTATGCACTAGTATCCAAATGTCATAGGGATGAAACAATCTAGATATTTAGCCAATACTTAGGCTTTCTTGTTTAGATCTTCTTCAGCACAGGTTATCCATATCAGCAGATCCTGAGCACCAAAGGGAGAGCCTTCACAAAGAGCTATTATTCCAGAGTTGCAGACTAAATAGACCCTTGACTCTGCCCCCAGCTAGTACACAGGAGCTGGCACAGAGTGGAAAGTAAGTTATGTCAGCCAAAATATTTGGCATGACTTATTTTCCCTGTAAGGGGCATGGGTGAACAGCCTGAGCCATGGAAGCTAATGATCAAACCAAAAGACCAAATTTGGTGATGAATCCTGGTCATGTGCCTCCCAAGGCCCATTGAGTATATGCTAAGAAGACTTTCTCTGTGACATACAAGGGAAACAGCAGCCAGATTGTGACTGTCAGTGTATAAACTGTGTGAAATCAAAATCAGTCATTGGTGAACAGATTAATACAAAATATCTAGCTAGACCAGCTTGGAGTTTTTTAGTTTACAAATGTTTATCTGAATCCAAAATTACCACATTTAATCTGAATCCCAATATATAAGCTCAGATCCTTAGCTGGTATAAATTGACCCAGCTCTGTGGAACTACACTAATTTATATGTTGTTAGCTGAAGATTGGGCTCATCATGTAATAACATAAAAACGGCCATACGGGGTCAGACCAAAGATCTAACTAGCCCAGTATCCTTTCTGCCCACAGTGGCCAATGCCAGATACCCCAGAGGGAGGAAACACAACAGGTAATCCTTACATGATCATTCCCCTACTACCCGCCTCCAGACAAACAGAGGCTAGGGATACCACTCCTACCCATCCTGGTTAATAGCCTTTGATGGATCTAACCTCCATGAATCTGTTTAGTTCTCTTTTGATCCCTGTTAAAGTCCTAGCCTTCACCACATCCTCTGGCAAGGAGTTCTACAGGTTTACTGTGCGATGAATGAAGAAAAACTTCCTTTTGTTTGTTTTAAACCTGCTGCCTATTAATTTCATTTGGTGACCCCTAGTTCTTATGTTGTGGGAATAAGTAAATAATTTTTTCTTATTCACTTTTTCCATACCAGTCATGATTTTATAGACTTCTATTATATCCCCACTTAGTCTCCTCTTTTCTAAGCTGAAAAGTCCATGTCTTTTTAATCTCTCTTCATATGGGACCTATTCCAAATCTCCAATAATTTTTGTTGCCCTTTTCTGAACCTTTTTCAATGCCACATCTGAGATGACCACATCTGTATGCAGTACTCATCATGTGGGCATACCATGGTTTTATATAGAGGCAATAAGATATTCTCCGTCTTATTCTCTATCCCTTTTTAATGATTCCTAACATTCTATTTGCTTTTTTGACCGCCGCTGCACACTGAAAGAAAAATCTTTCGTCCAGCATATTCCATATTCAGCTAATTTATGTGGCAGGATTGTTTATGCAAAATTTGGTATCTGTAAATAATCGTGAAGTATGACTTTATTTTGCATAAACAAATCCACAAACAAACAACCTCTTCAAAATATAGAATACTTACTTTTAAAATATGGACATGTTTCTGTTTATCTCCAATATTTATTTATCTCCAATATTCATTTCAGGGTGAACCAGGATCTTCAGGGTTTGCAGGCCTACCTGGTCTTCCAGGGGAAGACGGAGCCCCAGGACAAAAGGTTTGAATTTCTTTGTTCCCTACCTTTCCCTTCCTGCCTCAGCTCACCTATTGCCCACCCTTCCTTCATACTGATAGCTGGCCTGATCCAGCAGAGAGTCCTCCATGGAGCCTGGGACAAAGGGATTGACACTGCTGAGGAAGGGATGACCACTTCGCTCATGGGGAAAGGCAGATCCATGTGCAATAATGACCTTACACATGTACATTGAAAAGCCTCCATGAGGTCCTGTAACCAGGTATACTCACCACTGAGTTGGGGGATTAGCTCTCACCAGGTCTGGTAGCCATTCCTTTGGTTGCTCACACCACGGATCATGGTTTCTCTCTCTCTCTGGGGACTCAGAGACAACGTCTAGACTGCAGCTCTATGCTGTGTCTAAGGAACACGTCCACTTTTTCAGAAAAATTTCTGAAAAAGCAGACGCGTTCTTTTGCCATCCCTGTAAACCCCATTTCATGAGGAAGAAGGAATGGCTCAAAAGATGTTTTTTCCAAAATTTGGCACCTGTAGATGCGCCAAATTTCAGAAAAGCCTCTTTCAAAAGAAGAGCAGAAAAAGATACTCAAATTGTGTTTTTCAATTTGCATATCATTTTCGACTTTTCTTTGTAGTGTACACGTAGTCAGGGTGTTCTCTTTTTGTGACTCATCCCTCCATCCAGATCACTGTCCAGTCCTCCCCTTGCAGGATATCAAAGTCCATTGAGACAAACAGTCTGTGCCCCATCCTAGGCAGTCCTCTCTGCCAATTCCAAGTCCATACCACCTTCCCAGTGGCTGGTATGGAAACATGTACTCACCCATTACTCCTGGTTTTGCCTTAGCAACCCTGTGCCTAACAACCAGTCTGCTCAATTCCAGTTACTCTTGCTCTTTCCTTGGACCTCTTCCAAACTAGCCTTGCCCAAACACCTCTGGGTTGGCCATCATTTCAGAACCAAGGTGCTAGGGCTTATGCTCTCTGCTAGGTTTTATAGTTTCCAGAGAGTGATTGCAGATCATCTCCTTGCAACCCCCTTCTTTTTTCTCTTTTGGGTGGCACAGATTATAGTTGCCACCAACTATTGCTCCTCGTCACTCGGTGATTTAGTCTTCCTTTGCCCTCTGTCTTTCAGGTAATGTACAGTGGCTTTTAATAATGCCCTATTTATGCATTGTTTATATTAAATAACAATGTATTTTGTCACCTTCAGATGTTTAAATTCCTCAGAAAGTTTCTCTTTTCTTTGTCAAAGTCCTTAGATACCTACAAAGCTCATCAATTGTTTCATTCACTGTTCAGAACCCATATAGTCCATCATTGGGTCTATTTATAAAGAAATTGTTCCCATTTAAGCCACAATGGCCAGATAGTGCTCTACAGTAAAACTCGTTATTAGGTGTATTCCTGCCCTGTGTATGCTGTTAGCCTCAAGTGTAGTAGCTGCCTTCTGCTGGAAATTTCCTGGCTTTATACACACTCAGCCTCTCTCTGCCCAGCTCGGCTTCATCATCTATTAGCCTTTATCAGTCCCTGGCTGTCCTCTGGGTTAAGGATGTTAAATTTCCATTGACTACTCAATTAGTTGATAAAGGGGGCACTCACTGTGCCTCTCTTTTTGAAATGTACAGGAGCCACCCACAAAGCAGTCCCCGCTGGCACCAGTTCCCCTCTTCGCCTCTTCTTTAAAATGTACAAGAGCCGTGGGCAGCTCTTGTACGTTCCAAAGGGAGAGGAGCAGCAGTGGGACTGGCCTGAGTGGGACTGTTTTTTTTAATCCCCACTTGCACAGTTTCCCCTGTTGCCCTCTGTCTCGGCTGCCCCACATGTAGAACCAGCTTTTAACCCGGTTCCCCCCAGCAGCTGCCTTTCTCTGATAGAGGTAGCAAGGGGGGGGGGGACTAGTTGAGTCACTACTCGACTACCCAATAAGCATTTGCTGGATTTTACCAGTTGTGATGTAACTGTCAAAGAAATGTGTGAAAAGATGTAGCAGACAAAGTCCCATTAAATAAAGTTCTTGGGTACAATGTTTCATTTATGCTATTGTCAGTCATGTCAGTTATCAATAATATTAAGTTATATATTTTCAGTCATGCAAATGGGCATTCAGCTCTTTGACTAGTTGTTCTGTATTTTGATGTTGTTTGGATCTTTGGTTTGAAAAGGTTGCCAACCCCTGACCTACCACAATGGGAAGACCCCTCTAGTTGGCATAGGTAGTGTTTTATGCTGAAGTGCAACAGCATGCCATAGCATTTTCAGTGTGTAAACATACTGTAAGACACTCAGTGCTCAGTCTCTCTTGTTACCAGCTTGGGTAAAGTACATTATGCAAGTGGCCATCTAGTGGCTAAACTTATAATACACATTGCATTATATTTACCCTGTGTTTAAAAAAATAATGTACTGAGCATGACATTTATCACCAGAAACATGTCTTCTCGTGCATCCCTGCAAGAGCTCATAAATGAGGCTGTATGATCACCTCAGACCCCACTGAAGCCAATGGGAGTTTTGCCATTGACTTAAAGGGCCAAGATTCCACTCTTGCTCCTTCTGAGCTGCAGTTTATTAAAACTAACTCAGAATTTCTCTTATAACAAATGTGTATACAAACTGCTGAGGTATCGCTCACTCTTAGTAAGCAATACAGGACTTGCCACCTGAGTATATAGTTTCTGTGACTAAAGAGAGAACTTCTGTCTCCAGCCATACAACTTAAAAATAAAACTAATTAAATTACAAGTAAATTCAAGTGTTGCTTTGGTGGTGGTGGTTTTTTTCATCACAGGGAGAGCCAGGGATACCTGGTCTTCGAGGTCCTGAGGGTGCTCCAGGAATTGGAATACAGGGTGAGAAGGTAAGAATCCTTTGTTAAAATTAAAGTTAACAAAAGCAATGCTCAGGGAATCTAGGTGGAGTACAAATAGATTCAATGCAGAAAAAGTGATTTTATGACTGACATTATGAAACAAACTGACTGCAGAGCTTGTTTCAGTCTCAGCCCCATTTAAAAAAAAAAAGTAGTGAAATTGATAAAATACAATCAAAGGCAAGCTTTCATTTTGGAGCTAGGCAGCCCAACATTCCAGTAACAATACAACATGCTGCTACAGACTAGAAGCTGCAATCCTGCAGATCTTCAGTTATATGAACCCTCACTCAAATGAGTAAGGATTATTCCAGGTGTGGACAAGACACAGCCAGCCAAGCCATTTGAGCCAGTACGCAGCTCACCCCGCTGTGCTCCCACCTCCAGGCCAATCAAGACCCGGGGCAGGGAAGTGCGAAAAATCTTCCCCCTCCTTCCACACTACCAGGGGTGCACAGCACCAGAGGGAACTGCCAGATGTTCAAAACAGTTGGTGGTTCCCTCTAGGTCTCACACACCCCGGTAGGGCAGGAGCAGGAGACTCCATGAGCTCCCCTGGCCTCAGGGCAATTGGGACTTGGGAGCAGGGGAGCGCACAAAATCTCCTCCCCCCACCAGGTACGTGCAATGCCAGAGGGAACCGCAGCTGTTCAAAATGACTGGCAGTTCCCTCTAGACGCCATGTGCCTGGGCTGGGCAAGGCGGCAGAGGCCAGGAGACCTCACATGCTCTCCCACCCCCAAGCCAATTGAGGCCTGGGAGTGGAGGAGCACATGAAATCTCCTCTCTGCACTAGGGGCATGCAGCACCAGAAGGAATGGCCAACTGTTCAAAACAGCTCCCACAGGGGAGCACACAATCTCCTTCCCCTTGCATGCAGTACCCAGAGAAAGCCACCCCTTCTGCCTGAGGCCCCACCCCTTTCCACGCAAGGCCCCTCCACCACTACCAACATTGGTGAAGTGGCCTCCCTACAAAAATTATTGCCCACCCTTGGATTATTCAAATGGATGTTGGGCCTATGTTTGCATGATTTGGATGCAGGAGGATAAAACACCTCTGATCATTTTCTAGTAATCCCTCTTGACACCTGAAAAAAATGATGCTGACCATGCCTGGATGGAGCCACGTCCAGTGCTCTGTACATAGAAGAGGGTCCCCATAACAATACATTTTAAAGGCTAAGGGAAAGTGAAAATTGGAAATTATGGTATCCGATGAGTTCAAAAGGTTTCCTCTCTAGGAACTATATTAGGATGGTGATAAAGAAACAGTTATACCTGTGGTTGAAACCTTGTTGCCAGAATTTCAAACATTTAGGTTTTCTGAACTTCTATCTTGTGTATGTTATTGTTAGAACTATGTTCTAATAATAAGAACAAAAGAACAGTCATATTGGGTCAGACCAAACATCCATCTAGCCCAGTATCCTATCTTCCGACAGTGGCCAATGCCAGTTGCCCTAGAGGAAATGAACAGAACAGGTAATCATCAAATGATCCATCCCCTGACCCCTGTTTCCAGCTTCTGACACTAGGGACACTATTCCTACTCATTCTGGCTAACAGCCACTGATGGACCTATCCTCCATGAATTTATCTAGCTCTTTTTTTAACCCTGTTAAAGTCCTAGTTTTCACCACATCCTCTGGTAAGAAGTTACACAGGTTGTGCATTGTGTGAAGAAATACTTCCTTTTGTTTGTTTAATGCTGCTACCTATTGATTTCATTTGGTGACTGCTAGTTCTTCTATTATGGAAACAAGCAAATAACTTTTCCTTATTTACTTTCTACACACCAATCATGATTTTCTAGACCATATCCCCTTTAGTCTATTTTCTAAACTGAAAAATCCCAGTTTTATTAATCTCTCCTCATACAGCAGCCATTCCATACCCCTAGTTATTTTTGTTGCCCTTTTCTGAACTTTTTCTAATGCAAAGATATCTTTTTTGGGATGAGGTGACAATATCTGTATGCAGTATTCAAAATGTGGACGTACATTCAAAATGTGCTCTCTTGAGCAAGAAAGCTCTGATGGCCATTTTAGCCATCAGGCTTTCTTGCGCAAGAAAATAACGTTGCTGTCTACACTGGCCCTCTTGCGCAAGAATACTTGTGCAAGAGGGTTTATCCCTGAGCGGGAGCATCAGAGTATTTGCGCAAGAAGCACTGATTTTGTACAGTACAAGGTCAGTGTTCTTGCGCAAATACTCGTGGCCAGTGTAGACAGGCGGCAAGAGTTTGCGCAAAATCTTGCCAGTCTAGACGCAGCCATAGAGTAAAGGTTTTCAGAGATCTATTCACAATGACTCCAAGATCTCTCTCTTGGCTGGTAATAGCTAATTTAGTCCCCATCATTTTGTATGTATATTTGGGATTATGTTTTCCAATATGTATGCATTACTTTGCATTTATCAGCAAAAAATTCATCTATCATTTTGTTGCCCAGTCACTTTGTTTTGTTGAGATCCTCTTGAAGCTCTTCACACTCTGCTTTGGACTTAACTATTTTGAGTAGTTGTGTATCATCTGTAAATTTTGTCACATCACTGATGACAGATCATTTATGAATATATTGAATAGGACTGGTCGCAGTATGGACCCCTGTGGGACACCATTAGTTACCTCTCTCCATTCCGAAAACTGACCATTTATTCCTACCTTTGTTTCCTACCTTTTAACCCAGGGTGGGGATCCTTTTTGGGTCGGGGCCCACTAACCCACAGAGATGTCAGCAAGGGGCTGCACAAAAGTGAGAAGCAGAAAAAAAGTGCACACACACAACTGGTTGTTTAGCAGGCTTCCTGTTTAGCAGGCCCCACTGATTGCACTGGTTGTTTAGCAGGCTTCCTGCTTCAGATGTAGTTTAAAAAATGTTTTAATATTTACAGCTTTACAATCTACACTTCATCTTAGCATTTTTCTGTCTAGAAATATATACTGTAAATAGCTTAATGGGGGTAGGTGTTTTGGCTTGTTGATTTTCTCTGACAGACAGAAAGATCTTCTTATACATATAATATATTTACTTGTTATCTAAAAATGGTTCTCTAATTATTAGATTTTTTTTATTAATTATTTCATGTAAATAAGTTCTCATTTTATTTTACTTGGTGGACTTGCCTTCGCTGATTCAAGCAAACAACTCCTTTTGGGTCTAATTCTTTTTACAATGGCTTTATACTAGTGGGCTACGTCTACACTGGCCCCTTCTTCGGAAGGGGCATGCTAATTTTGAACTTGGGAATAGGGAAATCTGCGGGGGATTTAAATATCCCCCGCAGGATTTAAATAAACATGGCCGCCGCTTTTTTCCGCTTTTTTTCCGCTTTTTTTCCTACTTCAAAGTAGGAATAAGAGATCCTCCGGAAAAGGGCTTTATTCCGGAGGATCGCGCCAGTCTAGATGCTTTTTTCCGGCTTTTCGCCAAGCCGGAAAAAAAGCAGCGGCCATGTTTATTTAAATCCTGCGGGGGATATTTAAATCCCCCGCAGATTTCCCTATTCCCAAGATCAAAATTAGCATGCCCCTTCCAAAGAAGGGGCCAGTGTAGACGTAGCCGTGTAGTACCATTGACGTTCAAGAAGTACAGATGTAATTAGAGGAGAATTAGGCACATTGACTTAAACTGAATTAACTGACTTCCCATTGAAATTAATGGAAGTTTCTTGTGCAGCAGGCCATGGTTTCAAACCTGCTTGGGCAGTGGGAGCTAAACAGGTAAATTGTCCGAGGCTCCATTTTTTTTTTAGAAGGCTTTCAAACCAAGTAGTGTTGTGATCTATCAGGTGGGCTCATAGCACCACTCAGGTTTGGCTCAGCAATCCCTCCATCATGAGAGGGACAGATAGGCAAATTTGAATGAGTGGCATTGCAACCGATTGTGTCAGATCCCAACAACTAACTGAAATTTTGCCTAGACAACCTCTCTGTCATGATGCAGGGGTTGCTGGGTCAAATTGAATGGAGCTGCAACTCTACATGCCTGGTAATAGTACCCCTGTGAGGTAAGTGCAGGGTGGGCTTGCTCTCCAATACCTCCCCTTGCCTCTTCTCAGCGGCAGTTAGTTTGAGAAGGGTGGGGGACCTTATTTTAAGATTATGCTCTGGACCCAACAAATTCTATGAGGTCCTGGTCTGACTGATGATTACATGAGATTTCAAATGACTTTTTGTTAACCATATCGATAAAATGTAGATTAACATTTCTTCATTGGTGTAGGGTGACCAAGGTCAGAGAGGCATACGTGGATTATCGGGACCGACCGGAGTACCTGGACCTGCCGGTGCTAAAGTACGCTTAGTTTTATACTGTATCTTTATAACTGAGGTTGCAAGCCAAAGCTCTAGCTCAGGGGTGTCCAAACTTTTTTCAAAGAGGGCCAGATTTGATGAAGTGAACATGCGTGAGGGCCGACCATTTTGCCTGATGTTCTTTGAACCATTAAAATTAAATGCAAATTAACTATTTTATGCAAAGGTTATTGCAAACGGCATACTTTTCATTTCGTCACATGGATGACAAATCTAAACAGGTGTTAAATCACTCTGCCTTTCATATCTGAAGGCCAGATGAAAAAAAAATCCAGGAAGCTGAAATATATGTCAGGAACATTGTAAAGTACATTACATATTATTGGTAATAAAGGTTGTCTGTCAACTTTTAAGTTCAAAAAATATGAACAGGAACATAACACCAAGTATACATGTTGTGTCCAAATATATTTATAACTGATTTAGACCAACTGACATTAACTGAGATTTTACAATGTATTCATCTCAATACATATGGATTCGTTGGGGGCCATAAAAGATAGATATTGCCAAATTACCTGTGGGGCCGTATTAAACCAGAACACGGGCTGCAATTGGCCCGCGGGCCGGACTTTGGACATGCCTGCTCTAGCTCATCAGTTGAGGAGAGGGTGGGGTGAAAAGGCCATTGCCCCCCACACACACTTTTTAAGTAGGGGAGTCCATGCCCCTCCCCCAGTTTTGAGATCCTGAAGTGATCTCAGGCACAGCAGAAGTGAGGGAGGAACAGAGAGTCCAAATCTTCTTCTTGGCACCTGACTGAACCTAGGAGGTATAATAGCAGAACCCCTTCCCTGCTAGCATGGCAGAAAAGCAGTCAGGACAAATCTGAGAGACTGCAATGCCATGCACTCTCTCAGCTTTGACCCAACTCATGATGGAGGATGTCCAGGCCAATTTTGAGTGTGTGGCATAGCAACGTGGTACATGGGGTTGCAACACCAACCAAATTTGGCCCATTTTGATTGTTTCTCCTCACACACACTTCTGCAGTCCTTCTGGGAACCTGGAGCTGATTTGTCCTGTGCAACAAAAATAACTGCAGTGCCATTATTTTTCTTCTGCAACAGATATGAATGACCACAAAATACTCTCTGCATTTAATGCAAAACTCATTTCTATAACTCAGTAAATTCTTTATATAAGGAAACATAACACACCCACTCACATATACAAGCAAATATTTTTAAAAAAACCTTTCAACTAATCCCACTTCTTTTCTATAGTGTGGGAAAGAAGAGGAAGATTATTGTTATTTCTGTGTTTAAATATTTGGGGGATACTTGGATAACATGCTGATGGGACTGTCTTAGGGTACGTCTAGACTACATGCCTGTCACCAGAGGCATGTAGATTAGGCTACCAGACATAGTAAAATGAAGCGGCGATTTAAATAATCGCCGCTTCATTTAAATTTACATGGCTTCCGCGCTGAGCCGACAAACAGCTGATCATCCGCACTGAGCCGACAAACAGCTGATCAGCTGTTTGTCAGCTCAGCGCGGCAGCCATGTAAATTTAAATGAAGCGGCGATTATTTAAATCACCGCTTCATTTTACTATGTTGGGTAGCCTAATCTACATGCCTCTGGCGACAGAGGCATGTAGTCTAGACGTACCCTTAGTCTAACAGACTAATTTAGCTACCCCTCTGAAACTCTAGTCTCAGTAGATACATATAGAAGTGACAAGGCTTGATTTTCCTCTTATTATTTACACTGGTTTCATGTAAATGTAACTTCTTTGACATTAAGTTACTCTAAATTTACCCCAGTAAGAATGTGAAGAGAATCAGGCTTATCACCTTTAGCAATTTCATGGTTTTCCTTCAGCTTTCTGAAGTTGTGATGATCACAAACACTCAAGAGGAGGAAAATTGAAAGTGGTAAAATAGAGACAAGAACATTTAAGAAATCTAAGTCGTGTATTTTGAGATGGGAAGCTTGAATTTAAAACAATAAAAGTGGCTGAATTTCTTAGTATTGAGTTGATTCCAATAGTAAAGCCCATTGAAAGTCTTCGTTACTCCAATATACTTGGTCTAGAACCTGTAGTGCATTAGTATAAGGATCTTCTATCTTGAAACACTGTACAATGACTAGGAAAAAATCCAGTTTTACATTGAGAAATCAGTACTATGCTGGTAACCAGTCTAACTGCATTGGTTATAATGTCTTTGCGATCACTTGCAATTTGTTTAATAGAACATTTAAATATCTTTCAAGAAATGTTGCTACCCAAGAGCTGCTCAGGCCCATCTCTCATAAAAATCCATTGTACTTTTTTTCATTTGCTATAGGGTGAACCTGGTGGACCAGGACGTCTTGGAATGCCAGGCCTTCCTGGTCGAGCTATTCCAGGACCAAAGGTAACATCTGCCCTCCAAGCTGCTAATGTTTATGATAATCAACATATGGAATATATTAAAAGGTTTACCTGGCATTGCTAGGGTTCTTAACTCAAGTAAAGTTTTCTTTTTCTTCATTTAAATAATTGTTCTGGGGTGGATTGGGAAGGAGGGGTTCAGTATACAGGCTGCTCCAGGGAAAAAGTACAACCCCAGCCTTTTCTTATCACAGCAGCTTGGTGCCAGATGAGAAGCGCTTGTCCACAGCCACTGCTGCTGCAGCAGGCACAGCAGGAGGAGTTGTGCATTTCTTTCAACTGGGAGACAGACAGACACACGAACAGACAAACTCTCAGAAACATATAGGCTACATCTACACTATGGCTGTGTCTACACTGGCATCCCTTCCGGAAAAGGGATGCTAATGTAGCACTTTGGAATAGGCAAATCCGCGGGGGATTTAAATATCCCCCGCGGTATTTGCATTAACATGGCTGC